AGCAAGTAGGGGATAGCGAGCCGACGAAGAGAGGAAGAGGAAAGAGGAAACTGAAGCGAGCGAGGGGATCGCGGGCCGAAGGGGAGAGGGACGGAGGATGGGGCGAGAGGAAGAAGAAGAAGAACAGGCGGAAGAAGAAAAGGGTAAAAAAAGGACGGACGATTCATTCACGGGATCGGGGGCCGCGGACGTAATTGCGGCCGCAACTGCTGCTGCAACTTACCCCCGCTGCATCGCTCGTTCGCGCGAGCGAGCAAGCGAGCGAGCGAGCGAGCGGCGGCCACTCACACCGTACTACCGGCGCGGTGTATCGGGTCTCTCTACGGTGTACGCGTTCGCGGAATACGGTGATTGCTCGGGCACCGCTTATGAATGAAATATTCAACGGTCTAATGCGACTGTTGCACGCAAAGGCAGACCGGTCTTCTTCGAGGCATTCCGTCGCGAAAGGGGGAAGGACGCGATTGAAGATCAGGATCGGTATTAATCGAGGCCGCGCAACGAGACCTTGGTATTTACGGCCGGTGCTCCACGCGATTTCTAAATGGGAGCACAGAATTTTCATTCGGCCGCCGGACGTAAACGGATCGAATTCGATGCAGATAGAATCCGAGGAGGCGGTCGGGTGAACGCCCGGTCGAGGGAGTTTAGGGTGTACGGATTCGTTCGATGGTGAATTGGAGGATCGTTGGAAGTTTGAATTAAGATTTGGTGAGTTGGTTGAGTAAGAGTTGGAGGATTCGTTTCGATGGCAGTTTGAGTTAGAATTGCATAGGGATTTTGGTGAATAGGTTTGGTTTGCTGGAGGTTTGAAGAAAAATAGAGATTGAGAGAATTCTCTTGGGTAATTAACTGAGGAATCGTTGTTTGAGATACATTATTTAGCACGTTATTATATGATTCTCTATTGCAATTCCTTTAATATAGAAATATTCTGTTATATTGAATCGATCAGATAAATCATTTTCAAAATTATTTACACAGATATTTCTCAAAGAATTCAATAACTTGAAACAATCTGAACAATCTCCAATACCAAGTAATCATTAACCCGCTAAAAACATACAACCCGTAAGAATCTGTCCAATTACAATTATTCCAAATAATTTAAGGAACGGTGGACATTTGAATATGGATTTACTAAGTAGTTTAATAAGGACTTGAAATATTTGTTTAGATAGCAGTTTGAGTTGGAATGTAACAAGGATTTTATTGAAGAGTCTCGTTCTCCATATTCAAACAAAACTAAGAATTCCCTGGCAGAACTTTCTAGAACAAATTAATAATGAATGAATCGATCAATGATATAACTTTCCATTGCAACCCTTTCTATACAAAAACATTCCATCATACCAAACCGATACACTAAATAAATCCCCTCCAAACTATTCACACAGCTATTCCCCAAGCAACTCAACAACGAAAAACAATCGAAACAATTTCCAATATAAAATTCTCAACCCCTTTCAGCACCACATAGTCAATCAAAATCGGGGCTATATCAACCGATATCTCACTCCAGTTGACTTCGAATTTCACTACTGACTCTTCGGTCCAAAATTATGATCACGAGTGAGCCTCATCAAAGTAGTGCAATAGATTCACCCAGTGAAACATTCAACCGGCAAGAGTCCATTTAATTACCAAAGATTCGCAGTCAGCAATCCCAATAACACGGGCATCAAAGCTGCCGATCATATGTATCTCCGCGAGGTCCGGCGTCTAGCGGGCGCCGCGGCTCGCGCAGACGAGTTGGCCCGTTGTTTTTAGTGGGATTCGCGGCCGTGGATCATTAAACGCGGGTATTCGGGCCAATTGCTCGAAACGGGCACCGGCGTTCGCTTCTAATAACGGTCCAAGGCTTTCTTCCGCGGCCGAACGTCTCTCTTCAGCCGGCGTAACGACTTAGTTAATTAGCGTTTACGCGAAGCGACCGTGAACGGCGCGAGCGTGGCGAGCGGCGCGGTTTCCATCGCCGTTTTCTGCCGTTTTATACCGTTACCAGCCGCCACGGAGCCCTATCGGAAATTCGAAACAATGTCGGCCGTGTACCTGGCGTGATAGATGGCCGGCCGGTCGTTGTTCCTCGTCGCCGTCGTCGTCGTTGTTTCTGGCACCGCGACGCTCGTTTAACACCGGTGTCAGCTGGCCCGCGCGTATCGCACGGTGTAAGGGTGAATGGGATAATTAGCCGGCGCGCGCGCGCGCGCGCGGGAAAAATGCGAGCTCCGTGCGGGTAATGGGACGGTAAGAGACGAACTAATTTGTGGGAGTTCCTTTGTTGTGTTTTTTGGAGCATTTTTTGCGATTTGACTGGATGATGGGGACAGAAAGAGGTTTTCGGAATGATTTGCGTTCTGGGTTAGTGTTCTGTTGGTGGGAAGAGAGGATTTTTTATTGTTGACGGTAAATGGTTTGGGAGTTATAATAGAAATATGATCTGTTTGGTTTTTGTAATAGAAGTGTAATGGAAGTATTGTATTGTTATTTAGCTGTTTATATAATGGAAACATAATAGAAATATAATTCCATCTGCTTAGTTGTATTGTATACTACTCAAGTATACCAAATAAATGCAGAAGACAAAGAAAAATTGTCTATTATCCTGTTAACTGTGGAATTTAGTTGAAAAAATCATAGTGTGTACTCGTCAAATGCAAGACGAATGCACCTAGGATATATTTTAATGAAACCCCAAAGGAAAACAAAGAAGAATCACACATTTACCTAAAAAAACTGAAGAATTCATCGTTGAAAGAGTTAGTATCATTTTAAGCTTTAAATTGACGCGTATATTCAAGCGCAGTTAACTGGTTAAAAAATTTGATAAGAATCCGAATGCTTATTACCGTAGAATAATTATATATAAATACTACACGCATTAAAGTAAAAGTTCCTTCTACGTTTCCCATAACTTCATTCTTAATCATATGCAAACTTCCATTTTCTTATCTCCGGCCGACCCAATCAGAAACACGTAATCTGCAATGAACCGAGGAGCACGCCAAAAAGATTACAGAATTCCATTTTACTCGTTCGATCGAGATTCTACGGTATCAAAGTATTTACCAAGGCAGCGAAGTTTCTACAATGTACTCAACCCGATCGTGGGTTCATCAGAGTGTACGCAACGGGCTACAAGAAAAAGGCGTTCTTTTCGTATATTAAATTACCGTACGGAATAGACTGTCGGCCACGGGAGCCGTATACATACATTGCTCGCGATCTCTTAGCTGATTATTATGAATTACCGACCTGAAATCTGGGTATCAATTATGCTTGTACGCCGTGGCGGGAACAAGTAGCGCGAAATTACAGTGCAGGATGTCCCCTCGTTGATCGAACTGCCGGTTTTTTGCCAGCTGCTGCCCCGGGATGGAAATTGTCGGTTCGCGTCCACGGCGAGCGTTGCGCGAGCTGCACGCCCGGATTCTATTTCATTAAAATGTATTTAGAGCAAAATGTTGCTCCTGGAATCACATTTTTCCCCCGCCGCGTTGCGCGCTGATGACCGCGCATTAAAACGACCCGTCCCGATCATTCCACGGGATCACCGCGCCTCCGTCGCCGGCGAAATTATAACATGCTACCTTTTTCTCCCGTTGCTACCCGCGGATACCGTTCCGTTCTCCAGCGATAATGTTCTCGAAAAATGGAAGAAAAACCGGCCGGTACCCCGCCATGAAATTACGGTTATTAAAGGATTTATTGGCAGCGCATTAAAATTTTTTCCCGAGTTCCTCGGAACACCGAAAGCCCGGGACGAGGAATGATTTTTGAACGTGTCGCGGATTAACCTATTGCTTCGCGGCTCTCTTTGTAGCCGATTAACCCTTCGCCCTGTGATTTTCTTTCGTGGCTCGATGAAATTACTTCATTGGTCGTGATTTGTTGGGAAAAGGGATTTTTGAGGGTTTTGTGTATATGGTTACTATAAAGGTTCGTGA